TTATTAGCAATAATCATAATGAAACAGTTGACATTTATTGAGCATTAAATATTTTATTAAATTTGATACATGCTATCTTTCTTGATCAAAACACCTCTAAGAGTGAGCATTGTAACTATTTGTGGAAGAGGAAACCCAAGTTCAGTGCTTTATACCTTTCCTATGCTACCCTGGTAAGGAAAGGGTGGAACCGACATTCAAACTTAGCAAACACCAGGCCTTTCTCCCTGCTCTGGGTTGTCTCCTGGAACATAGATTATAGGAAACCTCAAGGTTATCAGCTTGCTTTCCCCTCCACTCCATCACTCAGTTTTCCACTTGTGTGCAACTTCCTGTTCATAGGCCTTCAAAAGGGAGAGAAAACCTTTGAAATATTTGAAGGCATTTTTTTTAAGATTTATTTATTTATACATACAAGAACTGGGGTGCAAGCTAGAGATGAGAGAGTGTGGGGGTGAGAAGATTCACATAAGATCAAGTGGGAAGCAGAACAGGTGGATCTTCTGAAATACACTGCTGAGGGAAGCTTTGGGTGGGCCAGGAGAGGTCTGCTGTGCATGTGGTTCAGCAACTTGTCTAGAATCCAATTCGTGCTGCAAATTCTACTGCTAGTTGTGACTCAACCCCTTGCATTACCAAGGAGGTCCTGAGGGCATGTTTTTAAAGAAATACTTACATTGGCAATACCCAGAAATCTTCCATAAAAAGTATTCTCTGCCTTCCTTTCCTTTGCAGATGCTGAGGAATGCAAACTGGGAGAAACCTTGCCATGTCAGTGGAATAGCAAGGGACAATTTGGTATCTTCAGAAGCACTGAGTGCTTTCAAAACGCTTTGTAAAAAGTTAGGTTGCTTACCAATGCACTAACTTCTCTTTGTCAACAGCAAAATGAGTAGCCACTAGTTTCAAAAATAGGCTATGAACAAATGTAAGTCCTCTGACTTATGGCTGAGGTTGAAGCGAAGGGTCAATAGTGTGTACAAAAGTAAAGGGAGGAAATAGAAAGGCAGTGCTGGAGACCGCAAATGTGTTTAAGAGAAGTTGGTGAATAGGGGAATGAGGTCTGATAAGACAGTAGGACTAGATGGGAGAAGCAGTCAGAAGCACCAATGAGACAACTGTGTTTGGTCGTGGAAGCCGCAATGCATTTTGCTACATTCATTTTGCTACATTCATTTTGCTAATTCGGCCTGTCTGTGAAGCCAATATGCCAGAAAGCCTGGCTATTCGGATTTCTTACTTAAAAAAAAATCTTTGCTTCCAAGCATGGTGTTATACAATCATATGAATCTCAAACTTGAGTAATTTAAGTACCTCTGAAAAGCAAGGACTTTTTCTGAGGCCTCCATGTTTTAGCAGAAATAAACAGAACACTAATTAAATTCTGCATGCCAATGGTTTTATGCAACTCGACTATCCACGGAACTCTGTAAAATTTTCAAAGTTGACATAAGGAGCATTAACAGGTCAAGTGACGCTGTCCTGTTGAAACTGTACCAGCGCTTGGCTTCTGAGTGGCCCCGACTGTTGAGGGCGGGACTTGGAGTGTGGCCAGATGCCCTCCTGCACCGTGTCACTTCTCAGTCTTTCACCGGCCCCTCTGGGCGACAAAAAACACTCATTTTTTCGTGCCCGATGATGCCAGTTTGTCTCCAGAAATTCATGTATTAAGAACACCTTTGGAGATTTTAAGTTATACTTTCACAAAGTATATTAACACAGTGTTGCTAAAATTTATCTTGAAATCAAAAATAACTCAGGCACAGGATCTTATTTTGACCATCCAGATGATACAGGGCAGTTCAACATTTTATATCTATATTTAGGTATATACACACACACACACACTCATTATGTGTTATATATACACACATTATGTATTATATGTATGTGTGTGTGTGTGTTAATTTAAAATAGGTTCAAATGAAATATAAAATTTCCCATATTAATCAGGAACTCATTTAACTGAGAATCAGGAACTCATTTAACTGAGAATCAGATGGGAACCGCCAAGTTTTTGAGCTTTGGCTAAGGAACAGCACTCACATATTTGTTGACACTCCTGAATACAAAATTGTGGAGTTTCCTCTGAAAAATATGTCTCAGAATGTTTGCCAGGAGAAAGAGAAGCATGAGGAAATAATAATTTGAATAAAAGGATAACATGTCTTTGGGTCACAGTCCTCCATAAACATATTTCTTTCTAAGCCAGAGAAAAATTTTCCTTACATATGGGAAGTTGGACATATAATTTATCATCAAACCAGGACATTTTTGAAAAAGTGGAAGAATAAACTATTGATAATTACACCAGCATGACCACATGCCCACCCCCAGGGTGCAAGGGGCCAGGGGAAGAGGACTCTCTTGGTCTTCAGCTCAGATGGGTCTCAAGCTTCATGAGAAAGGCCTTCTTTGTCCCTCCGGGTGACCTTTCCCCACTGTAACCAGAGCCCTCTTCATCTCAGCGCAATGTAAACTTCCTTTAACTCTTCAAGGACTTCCTCTCCACTTCTTTCCTGCTAAAGCTTGAGCATCTCCTTTTAATCAACAGCTTAACATGCTACACTCCAAGTTCTCTCTAATGACTTCAGTCTGATATTATTTAAGGAACTTTGACAAGATCCCAGCTGAGATAACTTACAGTCACTATGAATAGTCTAAGCTTAGACCGTGGCCTTCAAACTTTTCTTTAAGAATGCAAATCACACTTGTAATCTGACATACATATAAATCCATAGAAATGAAATAAAAACATTGTATTGCACAATATAGAAATTTAAATATGAGACACCAAAATACACACACATACACACTCTGTCTGGATATTTTTTAAAGTGAATTGTGATATGCAGTTAACAACTGTTAACCAGCTATTCCTATCTATGACAAGATAAGTAAAATACATAATTGTGCTGTTAATTAATTTCCATATGCTTCCACAGAACTTCATTTTATTATTTTTTTCTTGATTTGAGCCAATTCCAGAACATTAAAAAAGCTTATGTTAGGACATTGTGTCTTTCATATAAGTGCTGCAATTATGAATTTCTCTGAGATTTTAGAAAGTGTTTTCAGTTTAAGAAATCTGTGTAAATCATGTTACTTTCCATTTCCCTTGGGTGCTGAGAAACCTAGTTACATTCTATGATCAAATGCAGCAAACAGCTCAATTTTCCTACCTTTACCATTTCCCATTATCTGATGGCTTTATTGCTCCTTTGCCTTGTTTTTAAATAAAATAGTCATGTTGTAGAAGATATAATGCTTAAGAGTATACATGCCCTAGTCAAACTTCCTGGGTTTTAATTCCATGACTCTTATAATTGTGTGAACCTCTTGGTATTCTTAAATAGCAAAATTACAATAACAACAATAATAGTATCCATATTATAGTAGATAAGAGGGAAAGGAAGAGAGAACCTAAAGTAGACTGTAGATATCCAGTCTACATAATTTTAACAATATGGTAATACTTTATGCCTTTCTTATTTATAAAATGAGTAAAAGTTGCTATATAGCAAGCATATATTTCTGTTATTATTGTCATGTAACTAAAATGTTTAACAGCAAGCAAATGAGTGACTAGTGGATTCTAATAGAGTTGCTTTAATATTGTTATATTAATATTCATTAATTCAGAAACTCATATCCAGAAAGCTCTGAAATTTGTTTGTTGATAATGCATTCATTTAATTTAAACTGATGTCTTCTGGTAGCAAAGCCTTACCTGAATCGACAGAAAAGTCATTTGTTTATTTATTTATTGTATAAATAACCATATTTTCTCCCTTAGTACTTCTTGTGGTGAAAAAGTTATTTGTTCAATGTGTGTCATAGCTTTGCCGTTTATGTGATTTAACTCAATATATTTTTAAATAAGTTAGTGACTCTCATATTCTTCTCTAGCTCAATCAAATGAACAATTTTTTAAAAAAGATTTATTCATTTATGCATAAAGATCTGGGGTACAGGCCAGAGGTGTGGGAGCAGTGAGAGGATTCGCCAGAGACAGAGTAGGGAGCAGAACAGACCAACTGATGAAGTACACTGCTGAGGGGAGCAGCGGGCGGTTCAGGAGAGGTCTGCCATGCATTGTGGATCACCTCCCGGGCGAGGCTCAATCTCATGCTGAAGTGATTTAGCTTCTTAGTGCTGTGCTTTAACCCGCTGCACCACCAGGGAGGGCCCCAAAGGAAAAAAAATTTAATATAACAGATATACTCCTGTATGTAACATGTTGCTCTTCTAACATTTGAAAATAACTAATTTCAACTTATAGCCAGGTCAAGGGTTTTAATTAGAGAATAGTGAACTTGAGGTACTGATAGTGGAAAAAGAAAAACATAAGACTACTTTAGGGGACAATAAAATGACCTTTTTTTTCAGTGCCAATTAAAGTTTTTATTAATTTATTTTTCATTGAGGTAACACTGGTTTACAACACCGTGACAGAGCTCTGTCATGTGCTGCCACTACAGTACACCAACTACCAAATACCCTTAGTCCTCCACCATCATCCACTGTGCTCCATTCCCATTTTGTTGTCTCCTCCTCCTTCTCTGAGAGCCACAAGGTCAGATTCTATAGTCTTATTTCTAGGGTTTGTTAATGGTTTAGCTTTATCTGGCTCATTGCTTTATTCTGTATATTCCAAATACAAGTGACACCATCCATTATTTGTCATTATCTTCCTAGTTTATTTGCCTTAACATAATCCCCCTCCACTTTCACCCATGTTGTTCCAAATAAAAGAGTTTATCATTTTTTTTAAGATTTATTTATTTATACAGAACTGGGGTACACGCCAGAAATGCGGAGGGTGAAAGGATTCACCAGAGACAGAGAGGGGAGCAGAACAGGTAGATAGAGGAAGTACACTGCTGAGGGGAGCAGCGGGCGGGTCAGGAGAGGTCTGCCGTGCCATGTGGATCTCCTCAGTGCAGGCGGGGATCGAACTCATGCGGAAGTGGCTTAAACTTCTTAGTGCAGTGCTTTAACCCGCTGTGCAACCAGGGAGGGCCCGAGTTTATCATTTTTTATAGTTAAGTAGTATATCACTGTGTACATAAACCATGTCTTCCTAATTCATGCACCAGTTCTTGGACACCCAGGTTGCTTCCATAGTTTGGTTATTATAAATAGTACTGCAATGAAAGGTTCTTAACTGTAGGTCTAGATTCCCTTCCCCTAAGTACCTGTAAAACAAATGAAATTTGTAAATGAATCTCTGGAACCTCTATGAAGATCATTGTGTGTGGGAACATTTCTGTTGTGATGTATTCTGGGCATAGTTCAAGGAGAATCAGAAAACTCTTCCCCCCCCCTTTTTTTCTTAATTTCCATTTTGATATACTTCCAGTATTTCTATTTTCTTTCATTGTTACTCCAATATAACTATCAATAGTTGCCTGATAATATTAATCACCCACAGTACATGGTGGTAACTAGGGGAGAAATTTTACCCAGTAAGATAACAAAGTTCTGGCTTGTGTCAGAAACCTAATTCTTCTTACTTTGCTTTTCTTCTCTCTCTGGACTCAAATCTACAATCCAACTATAACAAATCATCAAATATCTAATTAAGCTTTACCTGTCTTCAACTAAAGAACTACTTTGTTGCCTGAAGAATTTATATGTATCATTATGCAATTTTATGTTCTGTTCAAAGAGATGATAGAACACAAATATTATATAAATTTTTATATAAATTTTTAAAATAAGCACCAATTCATTGTTCTTTACAAGATGTAAAATACACTAAATTGGAGAGGAGAAAAGTTTATTTTCTAAAATTGTAAATGAAATATCTGATGCATTTCTAATGTAAATGATAGTTTTAGGAGTGATAAAACTCCCATTTAATATGCACTACTAACAAGTTTGTAGCAATATTAACTCTTTCTTTCTTGTAAAAACAGTATTAATGTGTCCATCTGTAGATATCCTTTGATTACAAACTGTTCTGGTTTCAAAGTTCATTTGTCCTTCAATAATTACATTCTGGCAACTCTGGTAGTTAAAGTTGAGGTTAAGGTACACTATGAACTCACAGCTAATTCTCCTTTATATCATTAAGTTCTGCCTTCTCCAATCTAGACATTGTGTGACCAAACAGCCAAATTTCAACTATGATGTAATCTACTATCTCATCCTCATAGAACCCACAAGTTAACAAACAAAATTCAAGTTTCAGCAAGACTCGTAAAAAATTTGTCCCACTTGTTTTCCAATTGATTAAAACTACCTGTAAAGTCAGGTAGAAGAAAAATTGATCTCCTGAGAAACTGTTTTGAAACAAAGCTTTAAGGCCCCCTAAATTCATAATAATAGGCCATAGTCTCTTTTGCATTCTTTCAGGGAAAAAAATAAACAAAGTAGTATCTACTATGATAGGTAGTATTTAGTCATAGCATTTTTGGGGGGGTTTACTACCTTGTCTTCCCAGAAAAATATTCAACCACTAGTTCATGATGATAAAAATTATATTTTACTTTTACAAACATAAAAATAAAAAATGTCATTTGTAACAGAAGAATTCAAAGTAAAATGCTTTATATGTTTCATCATTTAATTTCTAGACAGAAACAGATAATAGTTTTTTAATGTGTTTCATATCACAAGATAATTTTGTTTTCTTAAAGAACTTTTTAAAAATTCCAGGAAGTTCAAAAGTATCACAAAATCAAGGTGTGCACATTGCAGGTAAAACCCTCCAGCTATTATTGAAACATAAGCATAATTATACATAGGAAAAAATATACTATCAACTGTAAAGGATGCCTTAATGATTCTGGGTGTTTTTCCAAATTGATGGGCATGAATGGGCTCTAATATCATTATATTTAGCAACAGCTTCATCCAGATCCAAATGAATACCATTGACGTTCACTTCCATACAGCCATTATAGAAGGCATTCACCGGGGTGGCATTGAATGGAACATCTGTAAAAGCAGAACATTAAAATATTAGACCAAGACTCTTAGCACCTTGTTTTCTTACAGTTGAGGAATTACCCAGACTTCCCATTTTTAACCAAATCCCCTAATTACCAGGAAAAGTAAACCAAGTAATTCTATTCAGTAAGTTTATACTAAGTGACTCATGCATATGAGGTATTGTGCTTGCCATTGAGTTCAGCATATTGCAAGTGCCTCTAATCTCTTAAACACAATTGGTTCTATCCAAGCCTAGAGTAAATAAACACATTACACACTTAAGAGTAGAAAAGAGCGAGTTCTTATCATGGTGTTCTACTTTGTTATTGTCTTTAAATTTGAGCACCAATCTAAGCATCATTATATTATTCTTTCAACTCTAAATTATAACTGTTGGAAATCTTTAAATTGCATGATAAATATTTCTTTTATTATGCTGGAATAAAAGCAGATTTCTATATTTTCCAAAGAAATGATTTTAGATTGAGAATATAAAGGCAGGTAATAAGGAATTTACATTTATGAGATACTTGATGTCTAAAAATATAACTTTTTTAATAAGGAATCAGTCACTTGTTTAGAACCATTGAGCCTTCCTACATTTTCATTCTCTTTAACTAAACTTAATACTTAGAGGGCCCTTGGATTACAAAGAACCGTGGTCCCTCCTAAAAACATCAATTTCTCGGCCCTCCCTGGTGGCGCAGTGGGTTAAAGCACAGCACTAAGAAGCTTAAGCCACTTCCGCAAGAGTTCAATTCCCGCCTGCCCCGAAAGTGACCACATGGCGTGGCAGACCTCTCCTGACCCGCCCGCTGCTCCCCTCAGCAGTGTATTTCCTCAATCTGCCTGTTCTGCTCCCCTCTCTGTCTCTGGTGAATCCTCTCACCCTCCGCATCTCTGACCTGTACCCCAGTTCTGTATGCATAAAGAAATCTTTAAAAAAGGAAAAAAACAAAACATCAATTTCTCTACTTTCTTCCTCTTCTGGCATCTGTTCTCCATGAATTAATTCCCAATGGATATTCTTCAGTCTTCTTCTTCCTCAATCCCTTGTGGAAAATATATACCTCAAAATTTTTACCTCTAACTCACCAATATAGTGAGAAAAGGTCACACTTTTCTAAGGGCTCAAAGCATTTTTGTGAGAAAATCATTCATACCTGGCTAATTTCATATTTCCCAATATGAAATTAAAGATGAACCTGCTTTTCCTACAGGTTTCCCATCTTGGGAAATGATTTAACTGTTGAAATTAAATCTCCACCAGTGCAAACATTCATGCCAGATACTTAAGACTCATCCTATCTTTCAATAATTAAATCTTCTTAATAATACCTATGTGGGGACTATTTTGAAAATTAAATGAGATGATACATTTGAAGTCCTCTGATCAATGCCCAAACTGCTTATTATGCCCCAACTGATGGTGATATAATTTCTCTTTGTTGTTATTACTACTGATTCTTCACCTGGACTATGTCAGTAACCCCCAACTCATCTACCTGCTCATCTCTAACCATTAGAGAGGTTTTTTTTCTTTTTTTTTAATTATAATATCGATTGCCACTTCCTGGTATAAAATTATTAATGATGTTCATGTCTTTTTATAATAAAACGCAGGACCATGAACCAGGTCTACAAACCATAGCCTTATCCTGCTCTACCATTCTTCTTGTTCAGTGGGTTCATACCACACTCATTTCTGTACATTCTTCAAGTGAGTCAACCCCTTACCATTTTGCCCAAATATGGACCATTTTAATTGTATACAAACTCTAATGCTCACTCCTACTACACATTCTCACATAAAACAATATATATATATATATATATATATAATTCTCTTCTTCAGAGCTTGTTTCTTGTACCCACAACCAGATCTAGTCCTCATCTTATGCTAAAAGCAACTCACACTTTTCCTTAAAACAAGTTAACTCAATGTTAATTATTTTGATATTTTATGAGCCAGTTGTTTAATGTCTGTTTCTTTCACCAGATTGTAAAAACCTAACTCCGGGTATTATATTTATTCTTTTTTTACTGTGTTCCTTGTTCCTGGAATGCAAGTTCTTAATAAATATTGGATTAATGATGGATGAACTGAAGGCTGAAGAGTGAACATACAAGGCAATTATGATGATGATGTAAAATAGCAAATCTTTCTGGTTTGGAAAATCAAATGCAGAAAACTTGATTATTTTTATTTCACCATTAATAAAAGGATAGATAAAAAGCATCAATAAAATGTTAATGTAAGCCCCCTACAAAATAATGGATACTGAAATTGTCTTCCTTTCTGATGCCTTTTATTAAAGTTATAATTTATATAAAGTTGGTTAAAACTATACTTCTCAAAACAAAAGAAAAAAGTAAGTAGTTACCTGGAATGCCACCTAGGTAAGTAGCCACTGTTTCTTTCATTGCTCTGTCCAAGATAGCAAGCTGTTTTTGAAGATCTTCTGAATAGCTAATATTTTTTTCAAATGGAGTCCATAACTCCAGATTGTTTCTGTTGACTCTAAGTTCCAAATGGGTTTGTTGACTGGAACACAGACTTATGGCCTGCACTCGAATTACTACTTCATTTTTAACAGATATCAGGATATCCTGTGAAGGAGAGCAGATGTCATTTAAGCAGGTACTAATGGTAATGCCAGTGAAGAGTGCCTTTTAAGTTTTTGAAATTCAACAACTAAATTTCAATAAAGAAAAAGAAATATATGAGAGTCTCCCATTTTACATGAAAAAAAGCATCAGTTACTATTATAAACACAATATTTGAATATGCATTAATTTTACAGACTCTTTTTAGCTACAATGTAAATGCATTTCATCTTCTAAAAAGTCAATAAAACAAGTTATTTTATTAACAATGAGAACCTAAAGTAGTGTCTTAGGCAATATTTTTCTGTTTCTGAGTCTTCCTAACTTCAAAACTTAACACTGAAAAAGGAAGGAGTTAAAATCACTCTTTGTTGGAAAGAGTTTGGAAAATTTTAAAGTGCTGTAGTAAGCCATGCCAGCAAGAATGAAAGGGTTTTTGTGTGCAACAAGCCATCCAGTAGACTTAGGACAAAATGAGCGAAGAAGCCATGAAAAAGAAAAAACTTGGGATTGCCAGCAGTAAGCTACAGATTATTTTTAAGAAAATATACTTCTTGAAACATTCAAACAGGTAATACACTACATTTGTCAATTTTTTAAGAATGATCTGTGCATATAGCTTATCAGGACACAGAGGAAATGTAAAAAGTAAGAGAGAAAATAAAATCAAAACTAGGGAGACTGGTGCTGCTTCCCAGATGGTGGAAAGGTAGTCTGAAACATTTACTTGGAAATCCAAGACACTCCCAGAGCAAAGATAAAGATGTAAAGAGACTTTACATAATTTGGAAAAAATATAGCATTATTAATTCAAGGGAAAAAAGGAAAAAAAGAAATATCAAAGTCTTTAAAACAGAAATCTAAGATACCTAGTTAAATGAAGTCTGTATTTTCTAAATACATACAATTTAAGGAAATTTGTTTCTATGGCATTTATGTTCATATTCTTGAATTCAGTATTAATGATGGTCAACAGAAAATATTTTGGAATGATCAGTATTACCTGGAATGATATTATGAAACACTGTATATACATCTTGAGAAGGCAATGCACATACAAAAAACAAACACAAAATAATTATCACAGTAGCAAGTCTAAACCTCCACTGCTTGAATGTAGTGTTCCAGGAAAGAATACAAACAAAACAAAAACTAAATCCAAGTGTAAATGGCTCCTGTAACAGGTTAGAAATGAAAACTCATCAGGGTCTTTTGAAGTTGCTATGGTTGACCATGAGCAACACTCCCAATCATCTTTTTAGTGTAACCAGTTCTCCTTTTTAATACTATAGGCATTATTCAATTACATGTCTCTTTCTAAAACCAATAGAGAGCATCTGAGTCAACCTTGGCACAAACGCGAGCTTCTTGCGGCAACTTGTTGGAGTCCATTGTCAATGATACATGGAGAGAACTATTAGCCTCTAAATGGAAAGTTGAAAATACAGATCTGATAACTCCCATGTTTCTTCATATCTGACAGCTTTTCCTGTTCTTCCTCCTAATTTAAATCAGAGTTATCCCAAGAAACCAAGTGGATTGGTTTTAGTTTTCTCTTGTCTTTCCTAACTCATTCATGGGAGAGAAGATGAAGAGTACCAGAAAGTATGAAAAATTATAACTAGGCACTAAATGTCTGAGAGTAGATTGTAATCAGATTTACTTCTCTTTTGTTGGTGCAGAATAATTCCCATGATACCTCGGGGATTCTGAATAAGGGTGGATCTCTATGTAGTCTGGGCAGGTTCCAAACTGACTGAGTAAGAATGCAAGGATCTTAGTTATGTCTACAATGGACTTTTCAGTTTCACCCTCTTACTTCTTGATTCAGTCCTTGGAAAAAGTCACAAAAAAAGTGATAATAATAAACAGTTGAGTCCTTAATAAGGTGCTAGAATTTGTGTCAAACTTTTCACAAAAGTTAGTTCATTTAATCTTCGAAATAGCACTTTGAGGTAAATATTGCTATTATACCCATTTTACAAATAAAAAAGAAAGACCACAAAAGTGTACAGTTTAGTCACCTGAAGCTTTTCAGAGGTGGAATCCACCAAGGACATGGCGAAGGGCACTGTGTTACCAGAAACCAAGGCAAATAAAACCCCAGTACCCGCCGATGGGCGAATATTCATGGTCACATTGACTTGCCAGTTCTTAGCATCTGAAATGTTATCTGTTTTAAACAAAGAAACAGAAGCAATATCAGTGGGCATCCATAGTGCACCAGAAAAAATTTTTATATCCTAACAAATATTAAAACCATCTTTACAGATGACTGAAGATTTTAGTGCTCCATTCTCAATGATTTATATAACCAAGGCAAACAAAATCAGTTTTTAAAAGTTTAATGTGGGCAACAAAGACTAACATACCCCTCCCATCCTACTGTTCTTAGAGCAGAATTCAGGATTGTGGCAGTTAGGATTATTATGAATTTTCCATTTGCTCTTTAACAACTCTTGCCTCTGTCTTGAATATTCACCAATACTCAAATTCTCAGAGCAGTCTATTTTTTTTAATAATATAATAGTTTATTTTTACATCATTTCGTGCCTTTTTAAATCTCAGTTGTAATCCCATGGGCTTCCCATCACCAAAGCACCGGTATGCCACCACCATAGTCCAGTGCACTTCCACCCTCCCTCCCTCCCATTTTTGATCCCATTCCCCACTCCAGCTCCATAAAATGTCTCTGGTATATAGTTGTTCATTATTATTATT